AGCAAAAAGATCCTGAAAATCACTAGTAATCCTAAGATAACAAGAATTTCAAGATTCAGTAAGCTTTTGAAAGGGGATCCAGATGTATTCTCTAAGCCCCTTTAAATCACAAAGCAAGGCAAGGTGGCCTGACTGACTGATTAAATGATTATTTCTGCCTGGACTTAATTTCTGGCATTTTTGGGAATTCATCTGTGGTCTAGAGTAAAGCATTAGTCTTATACTCAGAAATCTGAATTTGGCTTCTCTTAGGTATACATGTGTAGCTCCCATTAGAGATGAATTCTTGTCTATTAAAACTCAGTTCAGAAATCACCTCCTTTCTGAACCCCATTTTCTTTCCTCCTTCCTTCGACACTTTTACACATAATTGCTCTTAAATTCACATACACACCTTTGTGCCTACACCTCCTAGGTTGTACTACAATCTGTGTAACAGTCTATACCCATTCTACTTACTAAAGGGTACATTTTTAGACGCACAAAGGGTGTATATAATCCTCTTCCTTTGCATATGGGCAGGACTTGTGCCTAAGGTGGGTTATTGTCCCATGGATCAGGTTACTTTATATGACAAAGATGAGGGAATAATCCTTCTGTGATTACCATATGTTCTATAACATTCTCAGAGCAGATGGCAGGGACACTGGACTACCAAGGTCTTGATTTTGGTCCACTGAGGTTAATTTTGAACTTCTGATCTCCAGAACAATAAAATAACAAATTTGTGTTATTTTAAGCCACTGGCTGTGTGGTAATTTATTTCCATAGCAATAGAGATTTCAACCCCTGCCCCATTCTACATGATCTTTGGTGACTGTTAATCATGTACTTTTCCACTCCTTCTTCTTCTTCAAAGAAAAGACATAACCCAGATTTTCTAGACCAAGCTCAGAATGGAAGACAGTTGGATCAAAATCATCCCAGTGCATCCCCCAGGATATCTTAAATGAATTTCAACACTTGAGATCCCTGTATGGCCATCCTTCCGAATGTTGACTGGTTACCTCTGAGCCAGTTAGAACGCTAGTAAATAACATTTGGTGTGGGCTTGGGGGTTTCAACCAGTCAAATGCAATTTCTTTTGCCTACAATCCAAATACCCTACCAGCTATCATTTGGTGAGAACTTATTTTCTTCTCTCCCAAATATTCTCTGCAGTTTGACTTTACGTTTGAGATGTTGTGCTTTGTCTTTAATTAGGTTTTAACTCTATGATAATCAACTCTTTCTATTTCAACTCTTTACAAGAACTCTTACAACAATTCTAGAATTATTTATTTTTAGTACCATTTCACTGTAGGGAAACAGACACAAAGTGTTAATGTGCCCAATGTCACATGGCTATTTTGTGGATCTTGTTCTTACAAGTCCGCCACCCAGCCACCAAGTTATATTGTTTTCAAATAGGTGATGTCTGCAAAGAACGATGGAAGAGGCATTTCTCACAGAGGGAAGGAAGACCCCAAAGTTAAGGGCAAGAAGTAGGCTATGCATATAACTGTTAAAGATAGAAAAGCTAAAGGAGGAGAGTATTTTCAGAGGGGAGGAAAATCGCTGACTAGAGGAACTAATCAATCAACCAGTGTTGGCTGTTCCTCCCAGTATTGTGTTTTGTGCTGTGATGTTTGGACAAAATATCAAGCGAAAAGAATTAAGAGAACAAAAGACCTGGTTCCTGTTCCCATGGTCTTAGTAATCTAGCTCTGATGATAAGACCAGTGACCAATGGTAGTAAAGGAAAGGACTCTTTGGAGGATTACAAGAGAGAATGGAAGAGAAATCTCTTAGTAAGGTGTTTGGAAGTAATGAGGCTAAATAAATATTTAGTCTAATTCCAGTTTTGATCAACCCTTCATCAGGGATAAATTCTTCGCTTAGACATGGTAATGCCTCCACTGAGATTTACCTTCCTCCTCTGGCTTCCAACACTGGTGCGTTCCAACATATCACCAGTAATGCTTGTTGGATAATGTGGCAGGAAGGAGTTTTCTCCTCCTACCTCATCCTCATCCCCTGGTCAGAAGTCCATTTTTGACGAGAAGGAGCAACTATGGGCATAATAATGCATGAGCTGTATATTTAGCAGTGTTAGCCTGTGAAAGGTTGACTATTTTCAGTGATTTCTTTTGAGGTTGGATTGTTTCAACCTAATGTTCTCCAGATGGAAGGAAGGGTCTAAAACCCTCCCCTCCAGGATCATCTAGGAGAAGTTGTTAGTCTGGGTCAGGAGCCTAAGGGAAGTGATGAGGTCTGGGGAAGGGACAGATCCACTGTGGCCCCCACATTCTGCTCTCCCCCTCCCTCCTGGACAGAGAGGCAGGGACCTGCTGTCTGGGTCCCTCAGGCCTTGCTCCTGCCGCCTCCTGCAATGAAAGTAAAGGTTTGTGGTTCTGCTTTCTATTTCCTTGTCATATCCTTTCACCCTTTCAATTTTAACCTATATTTGTTTGTATAGAAAGTCTTTCTAACACACATAGAATACAAATCTCCTTGATATTGTCCAATCTGATAATCACAGGCTTTTTAAAACATTTTATATAATTCTTACATCATTTTTCATTTTTGTATAATGTATGCATTTTCTTTTTGGTTGTATTCCCCATACAATTCCCACCCCCCTTATTCTGACCCTAATCCCCCTTCTCCTCCCCCCGCCCCCACTGTAGTGTGTCTCTGGTCTATAGTTGCTTGTTGATTTTGATTTTTTTTGTTGTTGTTGTTAAAGATTTATTTATTTATTTATACAAGCACTGGGTACAGTCAGAAGAGCGGGAGGGTGAGAGAATTAACCGGAGCCAGAGCAGGGAGCAGAACAGGCAGAAGGACCGAAGTACACTGCTGAGGGGAGCAGCGGGTGGCAGGAGAGGTCTGCGCTGCCATGTGGGATCCTTGTGCGGTGGCTGGGGAGCAGCCGGGGATCCAACTGGCACTGCAGAGGCTGCGAGCAGCTTGGCAACCCAGCGCTCAACCACTGCGCCACCGGGGAGGCCCTGATTTTGATTTTTACTTTATTGCAATTAGTCTTTTTCCTGGTCCCTTATTTAGGTTTTCTAGATTCCTGCTATGAGTGAGACCATCTGGTATTTTTCTTTTTCTTTCTGGCTTATTTTGCTGAGCATGATCCCTTCCAGCTCCATCCAAGTTGCTGCAAATGGCATGAGTTTATCTTTTTTGAATGCTGAGTAATATTCCATGGTGTATATGTACCACATCTTCTTGATCCAGTCATCTATTTTGGGCATTTGGGTTGTTGCCAAAGCTTAGCTATTGTAAATGGTGCTGCTATAAACATAGGGGTGCAGGTGCCCTTTGGAATTAATGTTTCTGTGTCCTTTGGGTAAATACCTAGGAGTGGAATTGCTGGATCATATGGAAGCTCTATCTTTAGTAGAAATCTCCACACAACTCTCCATAGTGGCTGGACCAGTTTGCACTCCCACCAGCAGTGCAGGAGAGTTCCTTTATCTCCACATATTCGCCAACATTTGTTGTTTCTAGTTTTTTTTAATATGTGCCAGAGAATCACAGGCTTTTCATTGGGATTTAGTTATTTTTTTTATTTTTTTATTTTTTTTAGTATAATAACAACTTTACTGAGGACGGGTGGTGGGAGCTTGGTTCAGTCGGAAGCTGCACCGGCTGTGGGTTCGGGCACTGGGGGCTCTGTTAGGTGCTCAGTTCTAGGAGCAGAACAAACTTGGGGCCGTGGAGAAACCCCAAAGGAACAGCGCGACCCCAGCACCACGATCACTACGAGGCCAGCGGCGAAGGTCCCTGAGCCCAGCCGCATCGCGCGCGTCCTCCTGGCGGGGTCTGGACTCTGCCTGACCCAAGCAAGCCTCTAAGGCCACTAAGCTGGGCGCTCAGGGGGCCACATCTCATGGCGCCGGCAGTGCCTAATTTCTTTATTTTTATTATTATTTTATCTATTTTTTACATCATTTTTCATTTTCATTTTTGCACAATGTATGCATTTTCATCTTGGTTATATTCCCCGTACAATTCCCGCCCCCCTTTTTTTGACCCTAATCCCTCCTCTCCTCACGCCCCCGCCCCACAGTGTGTCTCTGGTTTATAGTTGCTTGTTGGTTTTGATTTTTACTTTATTATAAGTAGTCTTTTTCCTGGTCCCTTATTTAGATTTTCTAAATTCCTGCTATGAGTGAGACCATCCGGTATTTGATATGGTTAGATTTGTCTGTCGTTTTGATGTTTATTTTTTCATTGTCTCACAACTTTTTCATTCCATTTCATCATTTTCTACCTTTCTTTGATTTAAGGAAATATTTTTCTGTGAAATTAATTCTTCATGTGCTTTAAATATATTTATTTCAGTACTTTTTATTGTTGTAAATACTTTATCTTTCATTTTTCAATATCTACTTAATGGAACTACATCCCATAACATATAGGAAATTTACAGCAATATAGTTCTATTTAACCACCGTGATGTTATTCATGTAATATATATGTTAAACCAAAATAAACACAAGCCAAATAAAAGTATAAAACAAAAAATGTAAGCAATCATATCTGTTCAATATGTTAAGACAAGCCTCAAAAAAAGTACTCTGCATGTCTCTGTTGCTAGTTACTGCTGTAATGTGTGAGTTATCATCTACTGTCATTCCCGAGGCCTGGAAGAAATCCGTTAACATTCCTTGGGACAGAACTCCTAGCAATGAATTCTCTGTTTTTAATTCACTCTAGTGTATTAACTTTGTCTTCTTTCTCCCTGCTTTTATTTCTTAAGATCTTTACATGAAATAAAATTTACCAATTTTAGATGGACAGTTAGGTAAATATAAATAATAGAATAAATAGACAGATAAATGAATATTCTAAATAAATATAATCCTGGAACTACCATAGAACACAGACTGCACAGCCCCCTCATCCCAAAATGTCTCCTGCTCCTTTATATATTTTTTTGAAATTTATTTATGTATTTTTACATTGTTCTTCAATTTTATACAATGTTTGATTTCTCCTCTCAGGTGTTGTCCCCATGAAAGTGCCTCCACCAGGACACCCGGGAACATCACCACAGACTCTGCTGCTCTTCCCTCCCCAGATGAATGTCTCCAATGTATCGTTTGCTGCTAGTTTTGTCTTTTTTCACCCATCCCTTGTATGGTTTCCTATGTTCCTCCTCTAAGTAAAACCATCCAGTATTTTTCCTTTTCCTTCTGACTTATTTTTCACTGAGCATAATCCCTTCCAGCTCCATCTATGTTACTGCAACTGGCATCTTTATCTTTTTTGATTGCCGAGTAGTATTCCCTTGTGTATATATAGCACATCTTCTTGATGCAGACATCTGGTTTTGGGCATTTAGGTTGTTTCCATGTCTTAGCTCTTGGCAATAGCTGCACCTTTATATTTGATCCTCTCTCCATACCCCATCCAGGCAACCGTGTCTCCTTTCTATCTGTACTCTGAAGTTTCTCACTCTGTTAGATTTTATCACCATGAGGGAGTTCTCTATATCTGCCAATGAATTCTATTTTGAAATCTTTTATGGCTGATTTTAATAGAACCACTCCAATCTCCTTATGATGTCTATCATCATAGATTATCTTTTTTCCATAAATTTATTTTCAATGTGTCTTTATATTGAAACTTCATTTCTTGTAAGCAATATATAGTTCACTTCTACATTACTGTAAGTTTAAGCATAATCCTCTTATCACCTGTGTGAGGCAGACAACCAAGACTCTATTAGTCCCATTTTACAGGTAAGAGTGGAAACATTCCCATATTTAGCATGACACAGACCTAGGACCCAAGCCCAGGTCTTCCACACTCATAACTTCTTTTTCCAAGACTTCTTTTGTTGTTTAAGATTTTATTTATTTATGGGCCTCCCTGGTTGTGCAAGGGTTTAAGATACAACCTATGAAGCTCTCCACAGCCTCTGCAGCACAAGTTTGATCCCCGGCCAGGAAACTACCCACATGGCACAGCAGACCTCTCCTGTCTTGCCCACTGCTGCCCTCAGCAGTGTATTTCAGTCAGTCTCCCTGTTCTGTTCCCCACTCTGTCTCTGGTGAATCCTCTCACCCTCCACACCTCTGGCCTGTACCCCAGTGGTGGTTCCAGCTCGGGGTCTCACGAGGCTGCAATCACGATGTCAGGCCGAAGAAAAGGCTTGATGGACATGGAAGGATCTTCATAAAGACTCATCCATGTGGCTGCTAGAAAAAGCTTCAGTTCCTCACCATGTGAGCATCTCCTTATCTGAGTGCCCACGCAGCACAGCAAATGTCTTCCCCAGAGAGGAGCAGGAGAGATCAAGCAGGAGATCGTGGAGCCTTTTGAGCCTCCCTGTGAAGTAGCAAAGGCACCCCAGCCTCCTCCATGAGCAGGGAGCCAGCAAGTCCGGGGACTCACAGGAGGGAAATTGGTCTTGACCTCTTGAGTATATAAAAAAACCTGTGAAGATTTGAAAAACTTCTACTGTCTATCATCTGGCCACTAAATATTTATATCCTTTTGTCAAAGAAAGAAAATTATGCCGATACCTTGTAGAGAATAGTCAGGCTTTATTCAAACAAGCACCATGAAGAAAACAGGCTTAAATCTAAATACGTGAAAGATATAAGATTTAACACATCTGGACTCTTATTTTTCTGGGGATTCCTTTTCTTGCCCACTGAAGTTGGACATTTGCCTGAACCAGGCGAAATCTGCCCCTGCAGTGTGCACAGCTGGGCTTCTGCTCTGTTGCTTCAGTCTCTACTTGCTGCATTTTCATCCTAGGTCTTGAAGGGTTTGACTTGTCTCCATGTGATTCAATGGTCAACCCAGGTTTTTTGTCTCCATGCGATTCAATGGTCAACTAAGGTTTTGGACAGTGTCTACCCAGATGTTGGCATTCACTCACTTGTTGGTTATCTTATTCCTGGTGTACTCAAATACCCAAAGGCTGCCACGAAATCTGATGTTTGATTCCTCAAGTCAGTAAGATTTTTCTTCTGGTTCTCTGAGCTTGTGTGGATCGGGGAAGTCATGAGTCATAGGTGCAGAATCACAGATTGCACCAGGATGAGTCTGTCACTCAAGGGTACAACGCCCTCTAAGTTCTTTCTGGTTTTCCAGCAGTTTCTCTTGAGTGTCCCACACCTCAGCACAGTTTAGTGGTCATTCAGGGATTTGACAGAGTTTGTATTCAGATTTGGGATTGCACCTCTCTCTCTGTTGTTAAAATACATGTTAATTAAACTATTTGGACATGCCATATTTTAAGGATATACTTAAACCCCATGTAGAAAAATTCATGATTTCCACAAGAAGATAATTTTATTATACATTATATTTTATTATACTATTTTATTATACAACAAAGTATTGGGGGGCAGATACTGAAAGTTAAGAACATTCTAGATATGTACTGTCAATATGGTAGTTACTAGCCACATATGGCTTTTTAATTTTAAATGATACATAGTTAAATATGCAACATCTCAGCTCATGAGCCACATTTCAAGTGTTCAATAGTTAGAGGCACCATATTGGTCAGTACATATATAGAACATTTTTTTCTTCCAGAACATTCTGTTTGACAGCACAGCTCTTCATGCTTTGGGAGCATCAAGTCAGATGCATTAAACACATGTAAAGTCAAGGGGCCAATATTATCTCTCTTAAAGAGGAGGTGAGGTCCCTGGATGGAAATACATACTAAGCAGGTGAAAAACAAAATCAAAGAAGATTATCAGTGGGTCTGGTGCCTCGGACTCATAAACTGTCCCAGTTCCAAAGGGAAGCACCTGTCTCTCCAACTCCCTTCTCAGACTGAAGACTCTCTCTCATCATCTCTGAAATGAGTTCTCTTCCAGGGAGTACAGGGGCAAAACTCTAAGAAAAACTTTGGAAATAGGAAATCCAAACCAAAGAGATGGATGCTGGCAGAGGACACTTGGGAGACTCTCCCTGGTTCACTGAGAAAAGCATTTCCAGAGTCGGTCTGTGGAATCCTTGAGGTCACCGAGAACCTTTTCCGGGATCCAGGAGGTCAAAACTATTTTTATAACATCACTTAGACACCATTTGCCTTTCACTATTTTGGCATTTGCTAAGGTAAAACTTAGTTATTTTCTTAAAAATGCTTTGTTAGCATACATTGGTTATTAACATTCTAAAGTAAAGAAGTAATTCCATCTTAAAGCGCCTTTATTCTAGTAAAGTAAATGTTTAACGGTATAGCCCACATAAAAATTATACATGGGATCCTTAATAATTTGTGAGACTGTAGAGACATCCTGAAAGAAAAAGGTTTGAGAATCGCTGACCCGGTTCCTGGGCCTGGACTCGGGAGACGGTGTGACTCGGGAGACGGTGCAGGAGAGGAGGGTCTCGGGGTGTGGCTCTCAAAGTCTCAGTCCCCAGGGCGCTGTCTGGGGCTGGAAGGTGACTGTCGGGCTTCCTCACCTCCCCAGTTTCACTTCTCACAGCTCTTGTCGGGTCCTCCTGCCTGGATACTGGTGACTCACCCCAGGGCTCACTCCCCATTGCCTGGAGGTCTCCAGAGCAGCCAATCAGCAGCCCCGCGGCTCCCGTTCCAAAGCCCTCGCCCTCCCCGCCGGGACTCCGTCTCCCCAGCCCGGGTGGGGGCGCGTCCTGGGGGATGCGGGGCGCAGCCCTCCTGCTCCTGCTCGCGGTGGCCGCGGCCCCGAGGGAGACCCGGGCGGGTGAGTGCGGGTCGGGAGGGGACAGGGCGCTCCCAGAGGCGGGAGCGAGGGCGCGGGCGGGCGTGGGAAAGGCGCGACCTCGCCGCCGCCCTAGGTGTCCCCCCACCTCGGCCCCGCCCCGTCCTGGCCCCTTTCCGTCCCCCCGAGACCCCAGCCTCCTCTGGCCCCCGAGTCCCGGCCATTTTCGTCCCGCAGCCGCTTTTCACTCTCACTCGTCTTTCACCCGCTTTCTGTCTCGTGGGCGCCCCCTGGGACTCGAGCCCCCGAAGGGGAGAAGAATAGCCCGGGTCTCCCCTCCCGCCCCCAGGCCCCCACTCCATGAGGCTTTTCTACACCGCGATGTCCCGGCCTGGTCCCGGTCAGCCCCGCTTCATCGCCGTGGGGTACGTGGACGACACGCAGTTCGGGCGGTTCAACAGCGACTCCCCGGGCCAGAGTGTGGAGACGCGGGCGCCCTGGATGGAGCAGGTCGGGCAGGAGGAGCAGGACGAGGAGACTCAGCACCAAAGGGACAACACACTGAGGTTCCGAGCGCAGCTGGACTCCCTGCGCGGCCTCTACAACCAGAGTGAGACCGGTGAGCTGGTGCGGGTCCGGGCCAGGTCAGCACCCCCATCCCCACGGACGGGGGGGGGCGTCGCTCAGGGTCTCCCCCTCCAGGCTTCTCCACAACCTGCCCAGGTCCCTGGGAACAGTCAGCGGGACTTTCACCCGGTTTCATTCGGTTTAGTTTATTCAGGGTGGGTGCAGGCAGGGTGATCTCAGGGTGACGCGGGAGGGGACAGGCTCTCACACCTTCCAGAGGATGTCTGGCTGTGACGTGGGGCCCGACGGGCTCCTCCTCCGCGGATACAGCCAGTTCGCCTACGACGGGTGCCGATTACCTGGCCCTGAAAGAGGACCTGCGCTCCTGGACCGTGGCGGACAAGGCTGCTCAGATCACCTGGCGAGAGTGGGAGGCCCAGGGTGTGGCAGAGCACTTCAGGAACTATGTGGGGGTCAGGTGCGTGGAGTGGCTGTGCAGATTCCTGGAGTACGGGAAGGAGACACTGCAGCGCACGGGTAAGAGGGGCCTGGAGGCCTCCCGGTCCCCCCCTGCCTGGAGTCACTGCGGGAAATGAGTCCTCTCTCTAGTCCCGAGAGGGGGACTCCCCTGGGTTTCATGTTCTGCACTAGAGAGACTCCCAGAGACTCCGGCTTCTCCTGAAGGACAGTGAAGGGATCCCGTCTCTCCTGAGAAAGACAGACAGTCCCTGACCTCACACGTCACCGGGTCCTTTAGACCAGGAGCCTGTTTGAGAACCACGAGTTTCTCTCAGTCTTGTTTCTGGTCTGAGAACATTTTCAGTTATGTGATTCCTGCTTTTCTGTGTCATTCACCTTCCACCCAGGTCAGGAATAAAAAGTCGGTGTTCCCCTCCCTCTGCTTCATCCTACTCTGGGTTTTCATCCTTATTCTAGGACTTTCTAAGGAATAGGAGAATCTCACAGATTCCCCAGATTAACCTGTTTTTTACATTTTATGCTTTTTCCTGCCACACTAGTTGTCTTGTCCATTGTGAGGATGGTCTCATGAGGATTCTTCAGTGTCCATGGAGGAAACATAAAGTGAGTTTTCTGATTTACCACCTCAGATCCCCCAAAGACACGCATGACCCACCACCCCACCTCTGAGGATGAGGTCACCCTGAAGTGCTGGGCCCTGGGCTTCTACCCTGCGGACATCACCCTGACCTGGCAGCGAGATGGGGAGGACCTGACCCAGGAGATGGAGCTGGTGGACACCAGGCCTGGTGGAGATGGAACCTTCCAGAAGTGGGCGGCTATGGTGGTGCCTTCTGGGGAGGAGCAGCGATACACGTGCCACGTGCAGCATGTGGGGCTGCTGGAGCCCCAAGTCCTGAGATGGGGTAAGGAGGAGGATGTGGGCACTGAGGCTGTTCTCAGGGCCATCAGGAGCCCTTCTGGAGCCCTTCAGAGGGTCAGGATAAGGTCTGGGTCTCAGGGTATGATCTTCCTTCCCTTCCAGTGCCCCCTCCTCAGTCCTCCATCCCCACCGCGGGCATCATTGCTGGCCTGGTTCTTCTTGGAGCTGTGCTCCTGGAGCTGTGGTGGCTGCAGCTGTGATGTGGAGGAAGAAACTCTCAGGTAGGGAAGGGAGTGGGGGATCTTGTCCACTGGGGGCTTCCATGTCCCAGGCAGAACTTGCCCTACCTGTTTTTTGGGAAGTGCCATCCACACACGTGTGTTGCCCAGAGAGCATTTGGTCCAGTCCCCCCTTGCCTCCTTTCTTCTTTTTCACCAGTACTGACCTGGGTCTTTAGTCCCAGTTCTGGAAACTTCCCTGTGGTGCAGGATTAGAAGATTCCTTTCGGCTTCTGACCTGACTGCTCTCTGGTCTCACATGATTTTTCTACCCACAGGGAGACAAGGAGGAAGCTACACTCAGGCTCCAGGTAAGTGTAGATCAATGGTTTGACCCTGAGCCCCTGGGGACAGTATAAATGGACTCCATGGGGGAGTCACCCTCATCAGTCCCTCCTGTGGTGTCATCTCTTACCAGGTTCTGTTTTGTTCTCAACCAGGCAACAACAGTGCCCAGGGCTCTGATGTGTCTCTCAGCCCCTAAAGCATCTTTTAAAATGAATGTGATGAGGGCCCTCCACGGTGGCACAGTGGGTTGAACGCAGTGCTGTGAAGCTGTCCCCAGCCTCCGCAGTGCAGGTTCGATTCCCGGCCAGCCAGGAAGACTCCCACATGGCGGGGCAGACATCTCCTCTCTCGCCTGCTGCTCCCCTCAGCAGTGCTTTCAGTCCGTCTGTCTGTTCTGCTCCCCACTCTGGTGAATCCTGATTCACCAGATCTGGTGAATCAGGTCTCTGGTGAACCTTCTCACTCTCCCGCGACTTGGGCCTGTACCCCAGCTCTTATATAAATTAAAAAAATTTAAAAAATGAATGTAATGAGGCTTCTGTTGTTCACACCCTGGACAGCACCTGGTATTGTGCAGAGTTTGCATTTTCAGTCTCTCCTAGGTGTGATGGTGTCACTGTTCTTAACTGTGGTAGTGAGCATTTGTTCATATTTTTACTTTTCTATGAATACAGTTGCTGTTTGTATAGAAGTTTTGTACATTTTTACAGATGAAGTGCTGTTCATTTATTACACTATTTTTGTCCTTATTAAAATTGGGTTATTTCTTTCTGATCATTGAGTTTTCGGCATTTTTTGTAGATACAGTCCTTTGTCAGATTCGTGATTTGCAAATGTTTCCCCCCAACTCTGTGACCTGAACTCCTTTACTGATGGGAAAACAAACAGTATTGCCCAGACAGGAGCATGGAGATACATATATTTGGAAGAGAAAAGATAAATTGCTAGGTTTTGAGCAGATACTGACTAACTGGGGTGTTGAGGGTGGAGAAGAATGACTTATGTGTATCCTTGAGTGTTATTTAAATGTCCTTGTATGAGCATGAAATATGCTTTCTAAAGTAAATTGCACTTCATTCCTCAACTTGTAAAACTATTCACACATCATGACCAAACTAGGTGTTAAGACCAGACTGACATGTGGGTTACAAGTAATAGACCTGCTCGTCATAGTTGCAAAGTCATGGTTTCCCTTTGGGTTTACTCTGGTGTTGTCCGTTCTTGGGGTGTTGGACACATGTGTAATGACCTGTGTGCATCACGAGAATATCATACAGAGGATTTTCACTGCCCATAGTGTCTTCTGTGCTCCAAGGAAGCAAAAGCAAAAAGAAACCAATGGAATCACATCAGACTAAAAAGCTTCTACATAGTGAAGGAAACTATCGTTAAAATGAAAAGACAGTATCAAATTGGAGAAACTATTTGTACATCATCAATCCAATATGGATATAATATCCAAGATCTACAAAGAACTCCAAAACAAGAAAACACCTCAAAACAGAGGAGAGGAGCTAAATAGGTACTTTTCTAAAAAAGATACACATGTGGCCAATAGATATATGGATACAAGTTTATCATCATGTGCTGTCAGAAAAATGCCAATTCAAACCACAATAAAGGCCTCCCCTGGTGGCGCAGCGGTTGAGCACTGGGCTGCGAAGCTGCCAGCAGCCTCTGCAAGCCAGTTTGATCCCCGGCCGCAGTCGAGGGTCCCACATGGTGCAACAGACCTCACCTGCCTTTCTTGCTGCTCCCCTCAGCAGTGTATTTCTTGGACAGCCTGCCTGTTCTGTTCCCTGCTCTGGCTTTGGTGAATTCTCTCACCTGCCTGTGCTTCTGACTGTACCCAGTGCTTGTATAAATAAATAAATAATTCTTGGGCCTCCCCGGTGGCACAGCGGTTGAGCGCCGGGTTGCGAAGCTGCCCGCAGCCTCTGCAGTGCCGGTTCGATCCCCGGCTGCTCCCCGACCACCAGAGAAGGGTCCCACATGGCGCGCAGACCTCTCCTGCCGCCCACTGCTCCCCTCAGCAGTGTACTTCGGTCCTTCTGCCTGCTCTGCCCCCCGCTCTGGCTCTGGTGGATTCTCTCACCCTCCCACGCTTCTGACTGTACCCAGTGCTTGTATGTATGTATGTATAAATCAATCAATAAATAAATCTTTAAAAAATAAATAAATAAATAATTCTTTAAAAAATAAATAAAACCACAGTGAGTTCCCACCTCACATCTGTGAGAATGACCCATTGAAAGGTGTGGAGGAAAAGGAACTCTGGCACATGGTGGGTGGGAATGATGTCTTGTCCTGTCAGTGGGCAGAATGAGGGGTTCCCTGGACCCTCAAAACTGCACACTCTACATGGGATCTGCCATCAGCTGCATAAAGACAAAACATACACTAAAGCGTAAGACCTTCAATAGAAAAGAACTTTAATACAATTA